ATCCTCTCACCACCCTCTACATCTCTGGCCTACACCCCAGCTCTTGTATGTATAAATAAATAAAAATGAAATTCAACTTTACATGGACAGAGCTGGAAGGGAATTATGCTCAGTGAAATAAGTAAGGAGGAAAAGAAAAAATAAGGGATGATTTCACTTAAAAGAGGAATATAGGGGAACCAAATAAGGAATCAGGAAAAAAATAATTATAATAAAGAAAAAACTAAAATTAATGGGCACCTATAAATCAGATTCTACAAGGGAGTGACACAAGCTATGCAACCTCTGTCGACAGACACGGTGGAGGGGAAATGCTCTGAAAAATCAGACTTTCCGGCCCTCCCTGGTGGCGCAGCGGGTTAAAGCACAGCACTGAGAATCTAAAACCACTTCCACATGAGTTCGATTCCTGCCTGCCCCAGAGGTGACCACAGGTGTGGCAGACCTCTCCAGACCGGCCCACTGCTCCCCCCAGCAGTGTACTTCATAGATCTGCCTTTTCTGTTCCCCACTCTGTCTCTGGTGAAGCCTCTCACCGCCCCTGAGCCTCTGGTCTGTACCCCAGTTCTGTATGCACAAATAAATAAATCTTTAAAAAAAAATCAGACTTTCCAAGCTAACTTATGTTATGACCTCCCTTTTTTGTGTAATCATAATATCAAAATATTCTGAGCAACTTTCAGTTTACAATTGGATTGCCTCAGCCTCAGAAGGCGCTATCTGACCCTGACAAGCAAGTACTGCACCAGGGTGAGAAATTCCTCTTGAAGTCAAAAGTCATTAAACAACTGGCTGATTAATAAAAACAAATGGCTGTTACTGCAAAGTCTCTCTCACTGCCAGACTGAGGAAAACCCAAATCTTACCACTCTATCTCACATAGCCTTCTATTCAATTTCTAAATAACCACTCAAGCTTTCTACTATCTAGTCTTTGGATATGGAAATTCACCCAAGTCACCTATGCAGAGCTAATCAGGTTTTCTAACTTCTAGACTTCAAAAATACTCAAACTTTCTAACAGGTTTTTTAAAAAACCTTCTCTTAATTTGATTTACAAGAAATTTCCTCTTCCTGCCCTTACTTTACCCCCTAGGATGTCTCTATGAGAATGAAAGCCGTTAAGTAGTAGATAATATTTAAAGGACTTTATTTTGGTTAATCTTCACTGTGGTAAATATAGTAATATTAGTCTTAAACTTTATAAATCTATGTACCTGTTTTAAACTTGATAGATTGATTTAAAAAATGTTATAATCTCAACTAAAGGTCAAAAGGACCCCAGACTATTCTTAGCAAAAAGGTGATTGTGATCTCAGCCCATTTCATATGCTAATGTCTTGCCTCAGCTAAAGGCAGAGTAGGAAGACTTGCACCCAACTCCGATTCCCGTGTCTTCCTCGTGTCTGGTCCCCTTTTTTTCCTTTTCCCCCTTTTTCTAGGAATCTCCGCTTGCCGACGCGTTCCCACCTTGAGAGCCTGCCTGTTCTGCCCCCCAGTAATCCATGATGGGGGACAAACAGTCTCCGACAGGGGAGGGTGAGAGAGAGGACTCAAAACTGCAGGGAAGAGCACAAGGGACTATGGTGATGGTGCACAGGTGAGCCGGTGGTGGAAATTTGGTGGGAACTACATGAGAGGAGAAAGCAGACAGTGTACGAAAGTGAAGAACGATGTAAAATATATGTAAATAAAATAAATACATAAAAATGCAAAAAATTGAACTTTATTTCAAGTTCTACCTCATATTCCTTTAAAATAACTAATAGTATTTCTTAGGTCAGTACAAAAAAAACTTATCAATAGATGTGAATGCATAAAGTTTATCTTTTTACAACTGATTTTATTTATTTATTTATTTTCAAGATTTATTTATTTGTGCATACAGAACTGGGGTACAGACCAGAGGCTCAGGAGCAGCGAGAGGCTTCACCAGAGACAGAGTGGGGAGCAGAACAGGCAGATCGACAAAGTACACTGCTGAGGGGAGCAGCAGGCTGGTCAGGAGAGGTCTCCCGCGCCATGTGGTCACCTCTGGGGCAGGTGGGGATCGAACTTGCACTGAAGTGGCTGCCACCAGCTTGCAGTGCTGTGTCCTAACCCGTTGCGCCATGAAGGGGGGGCCCTTACAACCGATTTTTAAACTGAGCATTTCTTAATCAGAAAATTAAACTTGAATATAAGATTTTCTACATGACTGTTATATTCAGTAAAAACAATTACATGAAGTTTAAGTAACTAAAAGCAAAGAACTAAATTGACCACTTGAGAATTGTCAGGATCCTGAAAGATTGTGTGCGTGTGCGTGTGTGTGTGTGTGTGTGTGTGTGTGTGTGAATTGAACTCCTCGGGATCCAGCTCAGTACATAATTATGCTCCATGATGCTTGAGAGATCACACTAAATCTCTTGGCTCTTCAGAGATTTATCCCCCAAGGCAAACAAAAATAAAAGAAAGTTATATAATCACAGCAATAGAATTCTGTTATGGAGAGATGAGTGAGTCCTTATTTCAAGAGGTAAGATTCTGGCTTTTGTTAAACAGACTTGATGTAGTGATTTTTTATTTACCATTTGTGAGCACTGATCTCCTTCATATTATGTCCGTTCTTAAAATTCATATCAGCTAGTAAGTGTTTGGTTTGAATCACTGTTACCACAATCAATCCTTATGAATGAACAGACTCATGTAAGTTGCCAGGACTCCTTAAAATGGAAATTCATGGCACTTCCCTACAATATGAATAAGTTCACTTTCTTTGAGATACTCTGAAAATGTGTTGATATCTAGACATTGAAATAGAAGATTCAAGAATTGAAATAGAATGCAGAAAGCCTTACTTAGTTTATTATTTCTTTGCAGAAAGCCTTACTTAGTTTATTATTTCAATGCTTTAGCATGAGGGCACTGACACATTGGCATCTTCAGTACAGAAGGTCGGAAAATTTGGAGGTAGATCTGGGTAAACCCGGCACTAAGTTGGGGAATACATTTTCAGATTTTAGGCTAGAGTGATTCAACAACATATTATTTAAAAATAACACTAGTTCATGCCACAAAAATGCAAAAAAAAAAAAGGCATAGTAGGAAGTAACTTTATATATTTTAATTATGGTTTGAACAATACTTCAGCATAGTGGCCACATGGACATTATAAATTACTTGATAAAGCAATATTATGAATTA